CAAAGACCTGGGAGTGATCATGTCGGAGGATCTCACCTTCAAGGACCATAACATTGTATCAATCGCATCTGCTACAAAAATGACAGGATGGATAATGAGAACCTTCAAAACTAGGGATGCCAAGCCCATGATGACACTCTTCAGGTCGCTTGTTCTATCTAGGCTGGAATATTGCTGCACACTAACAGCACTTTTCAAGGCAGGTGAAATTGCTGACCTAGAAAATGTATAGAGAACCTTCATGGCGCGCATAACGGAGATAAAACACCTCAGTTACTGGGAGCGCTTGAAGTTCCTGAACCTGTACTCCCTGGAACGCAGGCGGGAGAGATACATGATTATATACACCTGGAAAATCCTAGAGGGATTAGTACCGAACTTGCTCACGAGAATCACTCACAACGAAAGCGAGAAACTCGGCAGACGATGCAACATCCCCCCAATGAAAAGCAGGGGTATCGCTAGCGCGTTAAGAGACAACACAATAAGTGTCAGGGGCCCAAGATTGTTCAACTGCCTCCCAGCAAACATAAGGGAGATTACCAATAGACCCCTGGCTGTCTTCAAGCAGGCACTGGACAAGCACCTAAAGTCGGTACCTGACCAGCCGGGCTGTGGCTCGTACGTTGGATTGCGTGCAGCCAGCAGTAACAGCCTGGTTAATCAGGCCCTGATCCACCATGAGGCCTGGTCACAGACCGGGCCGCGGGGGCGTTGACCCCCGGAACTCTCTCCATGTAAACTCCAGGTGGTGGGAGGAGGAGGAAGTGCACTGGTTAGGTTACATGGTGTGGCAGCGCTTCGCGGGGGGCGGTGACTCCGGGAAAACTAATGTTGTAGTTTTAGTCAGACTAACTTGGTGGTGAAAGATGTCAGTTGTTTACCAGCAGTGTCTGATCCAGTGGTCCAGGCAGCAGTGTCTGATCCAGTGGTCCAGGCAGCTGTGTCTGATCCAGTGGTCCAGGCAGCAATGTCTTCCCCAGTGGTCCAGGCAGCAGTATCTTCCCCAGTGGTCCAGGCAGCAATGTCTTCCCCAGTGGTCCAGGCAGCAGTGTCTACCCCAGTGGTCCAGGCAGCAATGTCTTCCCCAGTGGTCCAGGCAGCAATGTCTTCCCCAGTGGCCCAGGCAGCAATGTCTTCCCCAGTGGTCCAGGCAGCAATGTCTTCCCCAGTGGTCCAGGTAGCAGTGTCTTCCTCAGTGGTCCAGGCAGCAATGTCTTCCCCAGTGGTCCAGGCAGCAATGTCTTCCCCAGTGGTCCAGGCAACAGTATCTACACCAGTGGTCCAGGCAGCAGTGTCTACACCAGTGGTCCAGCCAGCAGTGTCTACACTAGTGGTCCAGGCAGCCTCAGATACACTTACTCTCTGACCGAGGAAGTGTGTGTCTGTCATGGTGTCTGCAGTTAACCATAGACTGATAACAACGGGACGTCAGTGCCCACGAAGTACGAACTTGGCGTGACTCAACCCATTACGTACCTCTGTAATCTGTAAATACCTTTGTAACTTGTCATGATTGTGACCAGACTTACCTGGAGTTCATTACCTTTGTAAATTGTGAGTTCATTACCTTTGTAAATTGTGAGCTCATTACCTTTGTAAATTGTGAGTTCATTACCTCTGTAACTTGCTCAGCTATCAAAACTTTGGAGTCCAGTCCCTGGACCAATTATGTACCTCTGTAATCTTTTGACTACCGCCCACAGGATGGGTATGGGGTGCATAATAAACATATTAAACTAAACTAAACTCAACTCCCAGGAGTAGTGCTCTTCTCTCCTCACAGACACCCGTGAGGGTTGGCTGTGTGCACCATGTCGACAGAGCACGTTATCAACCAAAACACACCTCAGAGTGACTCCCGGCTACACCACAGTACATCACTGGGCAAATCTAGTAACAAGTGGTTCATGCTGTCTTAGGAAATACGTAATCATTCGAAGACAGCGTAGGTCAGGGTTACCTGGATCTGGAGGTTATTCCGGGGATCAACGCCCCCGCGGCCCGGTCCATGACCAGGCCTCCCGATGGATCAGGGCCTGATCAACTAGGCTGTTACTGCTGGCCGCACGCAGTCCAACGTACAAGCCACAGCCCGGCTGATCCGGCACCGACTTTAGGTATCTGTCCAGCTCTCTCTTGAAGGCAGCCAGGGGTTTATTGGCAATTCCCCTAATGCTTGATGGGAGGCTGTTGAACAGTCTTGGGCCCCGGACACTTATGGTGTTTTACCTTAGTGTACCAATGGCGCCCCTACTTTTTATTGGGGGCATTTTGCATCGCCTGCCCAGTCTTTTACTTTTGTAGGGAGTGATTTCTGTGTACAGTTTTGGGACCATTCCTTCCAGGATTTTCCAAGTGTAGATTATGATATATCTCTCCCTCCTGCGTTCCAACGAGTACAAGTCAAGTGCTTCCAAGCGTTCCCAGTAGTTAAGGTGCTTGACAGAACTTATACGTGCAGTAAAGGATCTCTGTACACTCTCTAGATCTGCAATTTCACCTGTTTTGAATGGAGATGTTAATGTACAGCAGTATTCCAGCCTAAAGAGAACAAGTGATTTGAAAAGGATCATCATTGGCTTGGCATCTCTCGTTTTGAACGTTCTCATTATCCATCCTATCATTTTCTTTGCACGTGCGATCGTGGCACTGTTGTGATCCTTGAAAGTGAGATCCTCAGACATTACTACTCCCAGGTCCCTTACATTATTTTTCCGCTCTATTGTATGGCCAGAGTTTGTAGTATACTCTGTTCTAGTTATTATCTCCTCCAGTTTTCCATAACGGAGTAGTTGGAATTTGTCCTCATTGAACATCATATTGTTTACCGTTGCCCACTGGAAAACTTTGTTTATATCTTCTTGGAGGTTAACCGCGTCCTCAGCAGATGACAGCCTCATGCAGATCCTAGTATCTGCATGAGGCTGTGTACTAACTGGCACAACACGCGACGACATGTAGTGGCCGACACACTAATACGTAACAAGCATTATCACTCAGGATTTGTTTTCTATTCAGTAAAAATACGCAGAATAACTTCTACCCATCGCTTAAATACTTCCGGCAAGACTGAATTTGTTTTTCACTTATTAGCATTTTTGGTGAAGAATCTGACGATGAGGAATACTAGAGATGCGACTTGCAAGAGTCAACTAACAAATAATTATATACTGCTAGATGAGAGGATGTGGAGAGGGAAGAAGTAGTTGAAGGAATTAGGACATGAGTACTTACTGCTAGATGAGAGGGCGAGGGGAAGGAAGGAGGAGTTGAAAGAAGTAAGACATCAGTACTTACTGATATAATCCTAACACCACAATAAATGACATGCCCATGCACTCTGCCCCAGGGCCAGACTCGTGGAACTCCGTGTTCATCAAGAACTCCAAGAAACCCCTTTTACGTGTTTTAAATATTCCTACCAGTCACTAAAAACGACAGACATAGCCCCACTCCACAAAGATGGCAGTAAAGCAATTGCAAAGAATTATAGGCCGATAGTACTAACGTCCAACATCATAATAATCTTTGAAAGAGTTCTAAGAAGCAAGATCGCTAACCACTTGGATAGCTAACAGTTTTACAACCCAGGACAGCATAGGTTTAGAGCAGGTCGCTCCTTCCTCTCACATCTACTGGACCACTATGACATGGTCTTGGATAGTTGCTCCTGCCTATCACAACTACTGAACCACTCTGACATGGTCTTAGATGCTCTGGAGGACAAACAAAATGCAGATATAGCATACACAAACTTTGCCTTCGACAAGCGCGCCCATGGTGTAACAGCGCACAAAATGCGTGATAAAGGAATAACCAGAAAAGTGGGTAGTTGGATCTATAACTTCCTAACAAATAGAACACAAAGTATAATATTAAACAGAGTAAAGTCAGAGGCGGCTACAGTGAAAAACTTCCTTCCACAAGGCACAGTACTCTCTCCCATCCTTTTCCTCATCCTCATATCTGACATACACAGAGATGTAAGCCACAGCATCGTGTCCTCCTCTGATGGTGATACCAGAATTTGCATGAGTGTCGTCCAGTGAGGACACTGCAAATCTCGAAGTGGACATCAACTAAGTCTTAAATGGGCCCTCAGAAAGCAATGTGAAGTTCAGTGAAGACAAATATCAATACTCCGCTATGGAAAAACTCAAGACAATAAAAACTGGATCGGAGTGTAAAACAAATTCCAACCACACAATAGCGAAAACCAATGTGAAGGACCTAGGGCTGTTAATGCAAGAGACTTTCACCTTCAAAGATCACAACAATGTTTCTGCGACATCTGCTAAGAAAATGATAGGACTGATAATGAGAATCTTCCAAACTAGGGATTCAAAGCCAATGATGATTCTCTTCAAATCGCTTGTTTTCTCTAGGCTGGAATATTGCTGTACACTAGCCGCCCTTTTCAAGGCAGGCGAAATTCCAAACCTGGAGAATATACAAAGAACTTTCACTGCACGTAGTAGTACAATACCGCACCTAAATTACTGGGAACGGCTAGAGTCCCTTGACCTGTACTCCTTTGAAGCAGGCTAGAAAAAGAGATTGTAAAAATACACTTGGAAAAATCTTAGAGGGCTAAGTCCTAAATCTGCACACGAAGATCACTCCCTACAAAAACAAGAGACTCGGCTGGCGGTGCAGCATCCCACCAGTGAAAAGCAGAGGCACCTTGAGTACGCTAAGAGACAATACAATAAGTGTCAGGGGCCCAAGACTGTTCATCTGGTCAGTACCTAACCAACTGCCCCCATACCTTGTGCATCGCCCCCTACCTGGTTCTTCCTCCCTACCTTGTGCATCCCCCCTACCTGGTGCATCCCCCTACTTGGTGCATCCCCCCTGTGAGAGAGGTAATATATCTACCGTGTGAGACAGGTAATATATCTACCGTGTGAGAGACAGGTAATATATCTACCGTGTGAGAGACAGGTAATATATCTACCGTGTGAGAGACAGGTAATATATCTACCGTGTGAGAGAGGTAATCACGTGTTATTTTATTTGCAGGTCCGTGACCTTGTTGAACGATGTTCGTGTCCGTCGCAGTTCCCCATGGTGAAGGTGTCTGAGGGCAAGTACCGCATCGGTGACACCCGTGTACTCATCTTCGTCAGGGTGAGTACTAATACTGGTACTGGTACTGGTACCAGTACCTGTAGTTCAGTCTAGTCTATGCTGCCTCCTGCCTTCTCACCTGTAACTTCCTTCATGTTATCTCCTGTTGCAGTAACTACCACTGCCATGATGATAGGTACACTTGGTGTCAGGTGTACCTGCCAAATGTGGGTACATTTGACACCAAGTGTACCTGTCAGCTGTGGGTACACTCAATGTCAAGTGTATCCACAGTTGACAAGTAGAGATTTTTCCCTCTTATGGATACAAATGGTAGAAAAGACCAACATAATAGAAAACAGAGGTAGTTACACCACACAGTGAGTCGGGTTACGAAGTTCAAAATATTGTAATACATTTGTGTTTCTCCAGTTTCCTCTTATACAGCGTACATAAAGTACACCTGTGTTATAATAATAATAATAATAATAATAATAATAATAATAATAATAATAATAATAATATCTTTATTTCTATAAGTACGTATACTACTATATAGAAAGTCGCTTGTTATGCAGAGCATTTCGGGCAAATGTGGTCAGTTTTGTCCCAGGATGCGACCCACACCAGTCCACTAACACCCAGGTACCAATTTTTACTGATGGGTGAACATGGACAACCGGTGTAAAGAAACACGCCCAGTGTTTCAACCCTCGCCGGGAATCGAACCGGGACACTCACCGTGTGAAGCGAGAGCTTTTATTTTAACAGAGTTCCTGGGGAACTGCTAAACCCGTATGGGTGAAAACAGCACTTGAAGAACGGGGTTGTTCCAGTTCTCTTAATCAAGGGCTCTTTCACCAGTATCAAGGTTCCTGCCATCAAGGTTCAAGACCCCAATTGTAGTAGCTCAGTCTACACTACGAACTGAATTGTTTGTCATCTTAATGGCACTAAAGTTAACTAATGACAGTAATTATTACTGCTTCTGTGTCATCACTGAAGGTTCTTGACTCACATAATGACTCTAACAACATGCTCATTGAAGAAGCCAGATACAGATACTCAAAATATCCGAGTAAAGGGAATTAATGTACAATTGTTATGGATTCCATCACACAGTGGATTACTCTTTCATGGTCATGGTAAAGTTGATACGTTAGCCAAGAAAAATACACTGGAGGAAAATGTAGAATATAACTTTGGTATGTCTAGATCTAGCATTAGGAATAATGTTAGGAGAGAAGTAAATAATGAAACTGAATGTTATAGAACTGCAGTTACAAGTCTGAGTAGATCTATAACCCACTATGATAACATGAACGTAGATAAGTACGGTTATTGATTATTATTATTATTATTATAATCATAACTAAGTGCTAAGCTCACAAGGGTCATACAGTGTACGTTTATGGAGCAACTTACAATGTGAACAGACCTGACTGATGTTGTGGTAGCCAGGCTTAGGCTTGGTTACAAGTACTTCTGGTACTTTTGCAGACACACAGATGATTAAACTAAATACAAAGTATGTCAAGATATGTTAAGATATCTTATTAATGAAAAATATGATAACAGATATATTAAGCAAATTTCCTAAATTTGCTTAATATATTTCCTAAATTTGCTTGTATTAGATAAATGAACTATAGATATAAATCCAGATGTGCTCATGTAAACCCTTTTGAGGTCTAGTTCCTGGGTCTTTGTGTATCCACATACTCTTGCACTACCCTCCCCAGGATGGATATGTGGAAAAAGACACTTATATATAATTCAAGACATTTATTAGAGGAAACGTTTCACCACTAGTGGCTTCTTCAGTCCCAATACAGAGATAACTAAGAACGAGTATATATAATAACAGGAGTCAGGTGGAAAGCAGCGAGAGCAGTAGTAGTAGTACAACTGCGGTGAGATGGGTATGGTTTGAGAAGGACGTGTCAACATCATGTTATAGTGGTTTCCAGATGGGGAGTATTCTGTGGATCAATAATTTGAATATAGTGTAACTTTCGGATTTTTGGTGGATAGTGTTACTGACAGCAATCAGGGCAGTCTCAGTCTCTATATACTTCCACCGTCGCAAATCCTCCTCTTTAACGATAAATCTAGCCTCACTGAACTTAATGAGATGTCCAACATCGTTTCTGTGTTGGACACAGGCGTATTTATGGTCACGGTTGCAGGCACTCTTGTGCTCTCAGATCTTAATATCAAGAGATCTCGCTGTTTCCCCCACATATGTTTTGTCACACACCCCACATGGTATTGTGTACACTCCTGCACTGGTGCCAGAGTCGTTCTTGGGTTTCTGTACTAGGTTTTTAATAGTAGTAGAAGAGCTGTTGGATATTTTAAAAAGTTTTCTGTCAAGTATTTTAGAGACGTAAGTTGCAACATCGATGACCAGTAGAACGATGTAACGGGAGGATTTCCTTCAACTGTTAAAAATGTGTGTCGCAAGTTTCCTGCAATCACGTATGAAGTGTAAGGGGAAGTGTAGCAAAATGAATGAATGTGTGATGTATATACATTCTTCCTTGAGGAACTCTGGACTGGAAATTCTATAAGCTTTCAAAAAGAAGCCTATAACTACCTCTCTTTTAGTTCTGGTGTCATAGTGAGAAGAAATGAAGATCGGTCTTTTAGGTTGATTTTCGGTAGACTTTAAAAGATAGTCTATTTGCACCTATGAGTAGGAGTACGTCGAGAAATGGATGCAATACGTAGATATTTTTGTTATTGTATCCAAAAGTCTGAAAGTTTGTGACATCCTCAACGCAATCAACACTGTAACCTACAGTTAATTTTACACTAGAGGAGGAGAGAAAGACAACCAATTTTCGTTTTTCGATGTATTCCTTCTCATAGGTGCAAATAGATTATCATTTAAAGTCTACCGAAAACTAACCTACAGAATTTCCAGTCCACAGTTCCTCGAGGAAGAATGTATATACTAAATACATCACATATTCATTCAGTTTACTACACTTCCCCTACGGTTCATATGTGATTGCAGAAAACGTGCGACACACATTCTTAACCTGACTATTGTTATTATAATCAACACCAAGCGCTAAACCACCAGGGTCATACAGTGCTGCTTAACAAGACTAACACCAATCTAGTTTAAGGAAATCCTCCCCAGTGCCGAATTTAGGTGGTGAGGGGCCCGGGGCCCAGTTTGGTGGGGGGCCTGGAGTTTACCTGGAGTGCATTAAAAAGGTCTAACTCTGATGGTTAGAAGAATTTTAAGTTTCTCCTTGGAAAACTTTCGCCACTCTCAATATACGTACCATCCTCTTAAAATGAAGAAATGAAACAATAAATTGGATTTATAGCGTATTTTGTTAACAGCCTTTCGGTTCAGTTGCAAGTGTAACTCAAAAGTAATCTACAGACTTATGAGGAGTTATCCTCAAACAGATAAAATATTATAAACCAGGTACATTCCGTGTTTTTCTGATATAAAAGTCTCTGATGACTCCATCAAAATCCAACGAGCGCAAAATGTCAGATTCTATGTTTATGACCGTCAGGTTCACAAACCGCGCTTGCTTCATGCTCGTTCGTAGCCGGGTCTCAATAAGTTTAAGTTTTGAAAAGGAACGTTCTACACTGCAATTGCTTACCATCACTACAAGATACATTCTCAATGCGACTTCAACATTTGGGAAAATGTCAACCACATGTTTTTCGTAGATGAGCTTGTAAAGAAATAATTCTGTGTTCATGTCGCTGAGCTCTTCGTTCGCATGAATCTTGGAAAAAAAAGAAAATCGAATAATTTCATCTGGAAAGGAATTTTCTGTCTTTGGGATTTACTTCCAATAGGTTTTGTGCTGCTTTTGTCAGCTCTTCGGGCGATAACTCCGTCAATTGCCCGAAGCAGCTGAACCGAGCTGACATCAGCTCATATGCATGCAAATGTTGATCAAGTGAAGCTACGAACTGATCGATGACAGGAATGATTCTCTATTTTAAAATTTTCAAGAGGGGTTCATGCTTGCTTGCTCTGCGTGCCCATAGTCCAATGGACTTAAACGAATGTTGCGGGATCGCTTTCGCAATTGAGTGTAGTCTGTAGAACCCAACAGTTGTTGACCTTGCTTCTCCTAACTGTCAAAACATTCACGTTTAGACCGCACAAAGTCTTTCAGGTTAGCAACATTAAGATCTAGTTTTTTTTTTTTTTTGCTTTGCTGCCCTCGATTTGTTGCAATCGCTCTTCGAAGAATGTCATTCCAGAAAGCAGTACAAATTCCTGTTTCAAGAAGACAGATCTTTGACTCGACAGTTCAACCACATTTCAAACTCTTGCATACATTTTTTTTTTTTGCGATCTATTCAATTCTCAGTATAATGTGTATCATAAAAAATTTCATTTGGTGGGGGCCCCTCCCCTAAATGCGGCCTGATCCTCCCAGTTACATCGTTCTACCTGTCATTGATGTTGCAACTAACGCTCTAAAATACTTAATAGAAAACTTGTTAAAATATCAACCAGTCTTCTGTTACTATTAAAAACTTAGTGCAGAAGCCCAAGAACGACTCTGGCACAAGTGCAGGAGTGTACACAATACCATGTGGGACGTTACAAAATACATGAAGACCTTAAAAACGCACATTGAACATCATCTTTGTGTTGGACACACGAAGTTCAGTGAGGCTAGAAGCCGCTAGATTAATCGTTGAGGAAGATTTGAGCCGAGGAAAGTGTATAAAGGTTGCCCTGATTGCTGTCAGTAACACTATCCACCAAAAATCTGGAAGTCACATTATATCCAGATTAATGGTCAACAGAAAATTACCCATCTGCAGACCGCTGTAACATGATATTGACACGTCCTTCTCAAACCTCACCCATGTCATCCCAGTTCCACTATTCTTGCTGTTTTCAACCTGACTCCTGTCACTATTTATACTCGTTCTTAATTATCTCTGCATTAGGACTGAAGAAGCCACTCGTGGCGAAACGTTTCCTCTCATAAATGTCCTGAATTCTGCATAAGTATCTTGTTCCACATACTTGACAAGTTTTTGTTATTATAATCAAGTTATAATTATAAATCTCTGACAAGTTTTTACAGAAGTGCCGAATCACTCAGGTTGTGATGGGTAAGTAAGATAGGAAGCAACAACAACCTTGATCAAGCAATCAAAAGAAAAGACTGGTGTGTCAGCACTCCAGTATCAGCATTGAGGAATGACAGCTGTATTGTGGAGGAGGGGGAGGGGTTGTTCATGGCTGTGGTACTATGTAATAAACACACTAGCTTTATTAAATGTCATATAACAATAATTGTGTCTACAGATCTTGAGGAACCACGTCATGGTACGAGTTGGTGGCGGCTGGGACACACTGGAACACTACCTGGATAAACACGACCCCTGCAGGTGTCGTCAAGGTCAGTCTCACCACCACCACCTTGCTCTCAGTGCTCCTGTGAACCCTAACAACAACACATTCTTCCACTCTTTTCCCACACGTACATTACTAGTAGTATTAGTACTACTACTACCAGTACTACTACTACTAGTACTACTACTACTAGTAGTACTAGTACTACTACTAGTACTACTACTAGTACTACTACTAGTACTACTACTAGTAGTACTAGTACTACTACTAGTAGTACTAGTACTACTACTAGTACTACTACTAGTACTACTACTAGTACTACTACTCATAGTACTACAAGTACTAGTACTACTACTCATAGTACTACAAGTACTAGTACTACTACTAGTAGTAGTACTACTACTAGTACTACTACTAGTACTACTACTACTTTTACTACTAGTACTACTAGTAGTACTACTACTACTAGTACTACTAGTAGTACTACTACTAGCACTACTACTACTACCAGTATTAGTACTACTAGTACTACTACTAGTACTACTACTAGCACTACTACTACTAGTACTACTACTACTACTACTACTACTGCTATTATTTTATTTCGACTTGATACAAATTTATACAAAGGAATATAATAGTTGGGTGTACATGCCAAAAGCCCCTTTATATACCTGGAGAGGGTTTTGGGGGTCAATGCTCCTGCTGCCCGGTCTGGATAGTGGTGGATCAAGGTCTGATCAACCAGGCTGTTACTGCTGGCCGCACGCAAACTGATGTTTGAACCACAGTCCAGTTGGTCAGGTACTGACTTAGGTCCCTGTCCAGTGCCTTCTTGAAGACAGCCAGGGATCTATTGGTAATCTCCCTTATGTATACTGGGAGGCATTTGAACAGTCTTGGTTCCCAGACACTTATTGTTTTGTCTGTCAGTGTACTCATGGCACCCCTGCTTTTCATAGGGAAAATGTTGCATCTCCTGCCGAGGTTTTTGCTTTCATAGGGAGTGATTCAGGAAAAGAGAGTACAACGGACAAGTGAAGTAGCAGCAGCAACACTCACAGCAAGAGGCATTCTTGAGCTTCCCCAGAGCTTAGGCTTAATGCTTACAGCTGGGTGTGACTCCAAAAAGATCTTTTAGTGCTTGATGCCTTTGCACCTCCTGATATCATCTGCTACTATGCAGCTGCCACACGCTTCGATCCCAGTGTGGGCGGGGTTTGTGGCAGCCCGGTGGCCCGGTGGCTAAAGCTCCCGCCTCACACACGGAGGGCCCGGGTTCGATTCCCGGCGGGTGGAAACATTTCGACACGTTTCCTTACACCTGTTGTCCTGTTCACCTAGCAGCAAATAGGTACCTGGGTGTTAGTCGACTGGTGTGGGTCGCATCCTGGGGGACAAGATTAAGGACCCCAATGGAAATAAGTTAGACAGTCCTCAATGACGCACTGACTTTCTTGGGTTATCCTGGGTGGCTAACCCTCCGGGGTTAAAAATCCGAACGAAATCTTATCTTATCTTAAAGTGCCTAGCTTCTCCCTCCGAGCCCCATGGGGGCAGGGAATGGGGCTAGGCCTGGGGACAGCTCGTCCCAGAAGACGAGGAGGTACTTGTACCTCCTCCTCCCATGGCAGACATTGGTCTGAGACACTCCCTCAACAGGGAGCCAAGGTCGGGCCACCTCTTGGAAAATGCTCAGGACAGGCGATTATACCAGCGAGTCTACAACAGAAACAGAACAGGGAGTGATTTTCGTGTGTGAGTTTGGTACTAATCCCTCTAGGATTTTCCAAGTGTATATTATCATGTATCTCTCTCACTTGTATTCCAGGGAATACATATCAAGGGACTTCAACTGTTCCCAGTAATTTAGGTGCTTTATCATACACTCCAGGTCAGCAGTTTCACCTGCCTTGAAGGGGACAGTTAGTGTACAGCAGTATTCCAGCCTAGAGAGAACAAGCGATTTGATGAGAATCATCATGGGCCTGGCATCCCTAGTTTTGAAGGTTCTCATTATCCATCCTATCATTTTCCTAGCAGATGTGGTAAATACATTGTGGTCTTTGAAGGCGAGATCCTCTGACATTATTGCTCCCAGGTCCTTCACATTACTTTTTTGCTCTATTGTATGGTTAGAATTTGTTGTATACCCTGATACAGTTTTAATTTCCTCAAGTTTTCCATATCTGAGTACAGTAGTTGAAATTTCTCTTCATTGAACTTAATACTGTATTGTTTTTATAAGATAAGATTTTCTTCGGACTTTTAACCCAGGAGGGTTAGCCACCCAGGATAACCCAAGAAAGTCAGTGCGTTATCAAGGACTGTCTAACTTATTTCCATTGGGGGCCTTAATCTTGTCCCCCAGGATGCGACCCACACCAGTTGACTAACACCCAGGTACACCTACCATCCGACTTACGACCGAGTTCAGTTCCAAGAAACCGGTCGTAAGTCGGAATGGTCGTAAGTCGAATTTTACTACTGAATATCAACAAAACATTTTTGTAATGACTTTATTTTATTGTTTTATTTGGTATTTCATGTTTTACTTTACTTTTTATGCTGTTAATACTGTATTTTATACTGTAAGGTTTAGGATAAACACTGTGTACAACACAAATAGTTGTTTATTTCCCAGAAATTTGGCATAAAAAACACGGTCGTAAGTCGAGTGGTCGTAAGTCGGATGGTAGGTGTACCTATTTGCTTCTAGGTGAACAGGACAACAGGTGTAAGGAAACGTGTCGAAATGTTTCCATCCGCTGGGAATCGAATCTGGGCCCTCCATGTGTGAAGTGGGAGCTTTAGCCACCATGCCGCTGGGTCATTAGCTGATGTCCGCTCGGAGTCTTGTGGTGTCTTCGATGGAGGTCACTGTCATGGCAATTCGAGTGTCATCCGCAAAGGAAGACATGGAGCTGTGGCTTACATCTCTGTCTGTGTCAGATATGAGGATGAGAAATAGGATGGGAGTGAGTACTGTGCCTTGTGGAACAGAGCTTTTCACCATAGCTGCCTCAAACTTTACTCTACTTACTATTACTCTTTGTGTTCTCTTTGGCAGGAAGTTATAGATCCATCTACGAACTTTTCCTGTTATTCCTTTATCACATGTATTGTGCACTATTACACCATGGTCGCACTTATGGAAGGCTTTTGCAAAGTCTGTGTATACTACATCTGCATTTTGTGTATCCTCTACAGCATCCAGGACCTTGTCATAGTGGTCCAGTAGCTGGAACAGGCAGGAGTGGGTATCTAGGTGTAAAGTAAAAGGACACAAATGCAATTAATGTGACATTTTATTGTGGCAACGTTTCACTCTCCAGGAGCTTTATCAAGCCATTTCTTTTTATGGTATCTAGGTGGTTGGCAATCTTGCTTCTTAGAACTCTTTCAAGGATTTTTATGATATGGGATGTTAGTGCTGTCAGTATGTAGTTCTTTGCAATTGCTTTACTGCCACTTTCATAGAGTGGGGCTATGTCTGTTGTTTTTAGTGAGTTTGGGATAACCCATGTCCATGCTTCCTCTCCATAGAATGCTGAAGGCATGTGACAGGGGCTCCTTGCAGTTCTTGATGAACACGGAGTTCCACAAGTCTGGGTCTGGGGCAGAGTGCATGGGCGTGTCATTTATTGCCTTTTCAAAGTCTTGTGGTGTTAAGATAATATCAAAGATTTTTGAGATTACCAAATTTTGGGCCTCGTGCGTAAAGAATTCATTTGGATTGTTGGCCCTTAGTCTGGGTAACGGCTCGCTGTATTTCTTGACTGTAATCTGTGTATGTCCCATCTCGCCTAAGCAGGGGCCCGGTACTGGATGTTTTTCCCTTACATTTGGCATAAGAGAAGAAATATTTTTTTTTAGTTTTTCAGTTTCCTTTATGGCTTTTAGTTCTTCCTGCGAATCTTGTCTCCTGTAAGATTCCTTCAGCTTAAGTTTGATAGTATTTGCTATTTCATTTAGTATTTGCTATTTCAATATATTTCAGATATATTGGTCCCTCTCATCAGCTCTGTGATTCTTCGCTTCGTCTGTATAGGGAGCCTCTTCTCTTTCTTTTTCTTCATGGAATGTGCCTTGAGCAGATCTGAACCACAGAGTTTATTTTTTCTAGGCAAAGGTTCAGATCCATGTTGTTTAGGATATCTTCCCAGCCTGTTTCATTTAGGACATGGTTGACTTGTTCCCATTGTATGTTTTTGTTATTGAAGTTGAATTTTGTGAAGACACCCTCATGACTGATCACATTTTGCTGGTCCGGAGCCCTGTGCATATATGTCTGTACCTCTATTATGTTGTGGTCTGAATGTATTGTCTTTGATACGGTTATATTATTTATCAGATTGTCGTTGTTAGTGAAGATGAGGTCCAGCGTATTTTCTAGTCTTGTAGGCTCTAATATTTGCTGGTTTAAGGTGAATTTGGTGCAGAGATTTAATAGCTTGAGTGTGTGTGAATTTTCATGAGGTGCCTCCTGGGGTGATCTCTGCTAAAATATTATTTGCTACACTCCTCAATTTTAGGTGTCTCAAGTTGAAATCTCTTATGTATGCTGGGAGGCATTTGAATAGTCTTGGGCCCCTGGCACTTATTGTGTTGATTCTTATCATACTCATGGTGCCCCTGCATTTCATTGGGGAGATGTTGCATCAGCTGCCAAGTCTTTTGCTTTCAAAGAGTGATTTTCATGTGCAAGTTTGGTACTAATCCCTCTAGGATTTTCCAAGTGTATATAATCATGTATCTGTCCCACGTGTGTTTTTAGGGAGTACAGGTTGAGGAATTTTAAGCGTTCCCAGTAATTTAGGTGTTTTATTGCAGTTATGTGCACCGTGAAGGTTCTCTGTACATTTTCTAGGTCAGCAATTTCACCTGCCTTGAAAGGTGCTGTTGGCGTGCAGCAATATTCCAGCAGAGATAGAACAAGCGACCTGAAGAGTGTCATCATGGGCTTAGCATCCCTAGTTTTGAAGGTTCTCAGTATCCATCCTGTTATTTTTCTAGCAGATGCGATTGATACAATGGGTGGTCTTT